TGCAGTCGAAAAGTCCAGGTTCATTTAATTAGGAAGTTGGATGGGCCGTGATTGTAGGCAGAAATGTAAACCATTCGGTGCTCACTGATGGAAATACTGCCGGTTGTCCAAACATTTTTTATCGTAAGTTATTAAAAACTCCTGTTTTAAGCAGTGACGAGAAGCATTATCTTGCAAAAGCACTGTTCTATTTTGCGTTGATGAATGCTACTGTAAAGAAATCATCCTCGTCAGGTTTCGGCAGTTTTCGATAGTGATGAAGCTCTTCCCACACATCAGTCCCTGGGCCCCCTTCCTAGATATTTCCAAAAATAGGACATCCTAGAAGTAATGTTTTTCCAAACTGTAAGTTAGGTGACTAACAACGTTTCTCGTTTTAAAGTTGCGTCCTAGGATTTGTTGATAGGTGCCGAATTCCCTCATCCTTTCGCAATTATATACACAAATTATTAAAACATGTTTGCTGTAGATCGACTTAACGGATGTTTAAAAAAAATTGACGTTTCAATGTGCCCTAGGTGTTTCGGGTACGGCTCTGTAGATAATAGTCGGGATAATGGAATACTTGCTGACGACTCACAACAGCCTTCCTGCTGCCCATTTATGTATCCGTTCAAAGCCGACGGCAGAAAATTTATTGCCCCTACATTCTCTTCACATGACGTGGAAGAGAAAAAGCGGCAGCATATCGCGGCTAACTCCTTACGTGTTCGTCTATGCATGGTTATTCTCAGTACTGCAAAGCAAACCAACCAACATTCTTACTGTGTTTTATCACACAGACAGACAGTAAAGTTAGGCAATTCTGCATTTTAACGCGGAAGCCTAACTTCGCCTAACTTTCGTGGACGTAAAGTCCAATTTTCCGGTTCCAGGCGGCACCCTGCGTTAGTGCGTTTTCACCGCAGAGCGTGCACACAAAAATTCGAACCTGGCCTGAAACACTTAGTTACATCAAAGATTTCTTGTGTATAAGGAACCATCTGTTTCTGATAGAGGCAAACGGACGAGTTCCAGGAAGCTGTTTAGAAGGAGAAAATACGATCGCTGGGACGCAGTACAGACGAAGACACAATCGCACCTTCTTCTTCTTCTTCCTCCTCTTCTTCTAAAAACAGGTTTCTACCAAAATCTTGCGTCTTTAAAAAAATTAACTTCAGAAAAAGCCATTTTAGTTGAGAGGTGAAAATTGCAACAATCCATGCATTCCGGTCAGCAGATTCCAAGGATCACCTCATCTATTTCATTTGTCCATGTGATGAAGGCGGTGGAAACTGGTAGCTTACTTACTAAACTTAGGGCAAACTAGTTATCCTTCATTTACTTCCCCTTGACACCTCGCTCATGCAACACTATTTTTTGCGTTCATCCTCATCTACAGTCAGTTCTTTGATTCCCTTAATCCATTGAAGGCAACTTCCGCATCCACATAACAGAAGCAGTCAAGAGTTTATCTAAAAACTTCAAACTTCATCATATCATGGATTTCATACCGTTAAGCTGTTTTATTAGTGTTTTCTTGGCCACACCGATTTGTTTATATTCACTCTGTGGTTAACCTCTGCAGATTTCTGGGTACTTCTTAATTATTGATAGAACTTGTAAGCTTATCTCATACTGCCATCAGCACAGTTGATCACGTCCAGGGCCCTTCTGTTTTGCCATTCGTTTTTATAGACATAGCACGCATGTATCGGCTAGTTGGTCGTTTTCCCGAAGGCAAGGATCGCCTCGTCGAGATAACAGAGAAGCACGTTGAGGAGAGGGGTTCTTCGGCCCTCCGTCAAGTCTGCCAGACTGCTGTAAATGTGAGTGTGTCCTGTTTCCTGCATGTTCTCTACATTTATTCATCAAAATTTACTTGCTTCTAAGAAACCCTTCTGCCAGAAAACCATTCGATTTTTAGGGATGTTCTGAATAATTTTAACTAATAAAAACGACCATACTCGGTAACTGGGCTCGGTTCTTGCTGCTCAGATTTTCTGAGACATTTTCTTGTCTTCCGGATCCCATTTAAAATCCGATCTGAAAAACCACTCGGCTTATTTCCTTTTGGTTTGTGTTAGTGGACTCCACTGTTCGTTTTTCGTCTCCAAACAGACTTTAAGTCACTCCCGCCCCGTCTTGTTTCTGGCCTCCACAATTAATATTGCGCTGGCGAAGTCGAATTCATGGCCCGCCCCTAGAAAGCGATCAGCAATTTCGAGCGACACGTTACCGCTCTTTGCTGACGGTTTGTGCTGTTCGTGTTGTTATCCAAAAAGTTGTCTTTCTCAGGTAGCTGGCCTTCGGATAGTCTTGACAGAATGCTCCGGGCACAGTCATCCACTTGCTCAACCAGCCTCGGAGCAGCGGCTGTGAGGGACGGCTTGCTGGAGACACGGTTTCGTACAGTCTAATTCGAACATCGTCCTCCCCAGAAACTCTTTTGACACACCATTTGAGGGTTTTAGGATTGTGCTGAAATCTCACCGGATATCGGCAGAATTTAAAACGTGGTACTAACATGACATGTTGCCCGTTTATGGGTTACTAATTTGAACAGCTGCATCTTTCGTGACTGCTTCTTGGAGAACCTATTTTGTTATCAGCCTTCGCCGAAAACCTTTCCACTATTTCAAATTTGTAGACCCTAGGTTAATGGACAAACCGCGTCCGATAGGCACTATTGCTGTTCCGGCTTATGTGTGCTCTGGCGTTCATGAACTTTGCCATGTGGGCGTGAAACTTATATAATTCAGGGTTCTGGTAACAGTACCGAATAAAAACTTCAGGTTACTTCCCTAAACTTGGTTTGTCCTGGATCAGCCTGTCTCTTTTACCCCTAATTGCTTCGGGTAGATGGACGATAGCTGTACCAAGCCCTTCGGCCTTGTGTCCTATCGTCACGTACTTTTGGTGACCTCGTTCGTCTGATCCGATTCTACCTAGTACCCTCTTTCGCTGTCGTCTTCCGCCCCCGCACGTGACGCTTTCGAACAGCTGACTGGCCTAACGCACGATCAGCCGATGCGCTTGCCCTCGCGTTAACTGTTAATCGCGCTTCCGTCTATCCACAACAGCGCGCATGCACCGAGTTTGCGCTTTTTCGGTCTACACGCCGCGTTCACAATTATTGTATCCAGTGATTGTTGAACATATGTTCGTTTGTGTGGGTGTGCACGTGTGCGTGCCTGTCTGCCTTCCATTTTTGCACGCCCGCAGTGTTTCCATAGTACTTTATAAAACCTGCTGAGCGAACTTGGTCAGCAGATTTTAGCTGTTTTTGCGACGAATAGGCGTGCTCTTCCCGAGACTTCAACCCGCGTGTCCGCTGTCCTTCCAAACAGCTTGTCGCAAATTCACACCTAATATGGATTTGCATGCTACAGTCACCTGCCTAGTCAAGGATCTTTCAGAGCAGTCCAAGGTTCAACAACTTTTTGACTGTAATCCTTATAATTGGACAGGAACTGGACGAAGAGCGTTTTAATTCTTGTCAGCAGACGCTGGCAATCCATCTTAACATATTTGGAATTATTTTATTTAATCTGAAAAATGCTGCCCGAATAAGATTTTACTGCAATCTAAGCTGTGCTGTTCGATTACAACGACATACCTTTTTATGTCGTTAGCGGAACCGTGAGAGCCATCCAGTCGAATGATCATCAACGTAAACTTTTGGCTGTAAAGATGCTACAAATTTGTCCGCAAGAGTCATACCCTGTACAAAGCTTGACGCAACGTGCTCACGATAATATATTTCCGGCTAATATTGACGTTAACGTTCCACCTCAAAGCAGTCGTGTGCGGTTTACATCAAAGGTACCGTAGACCGTCTTAGAGCACCTAGTTTTGTATACAACAACCGAAATGTAAAGCCCGTTTCGGATGTCCGATTTCGATTTCACTCAGTCTTAAGTAACTCAGTTCCGTTATCCATGCTGAGCAAGAGATCCGAGTCGTCTCTTTTCGCGGAACACTGTGCATTCGCCGACGAACTGTCGAGGTCTGTCAGTTACTGCGACCAATCCTGATATCAACTGGATTTCAGACTCGGACAGCTGACCGATTAATCGGATAGGGAAGACGAAATCAAGTCAACTCAGAGGACTTCATCCCCACAGCACTTCAGAACATTTCTTCCAATAATAAACTGGATGCGGTTTAAAATTATCACCATGCACTTAAAGTCCTGTCTTCGAAGGCTGCTAACTTACGGGCTGATCGGTCTTCGCAGTCAGCATCGCGTTTGTTTGGGGGGGACTGACTCGATTGCTCCTTAACGTGGCTTCTATGGTAGTCAAATGTGAGATCCTTACGGCCTCTTTCTTGTCCGCGAGCGCATGATTGTGTGTGGCAGACATAGATGGGGTGTCCTGGCATTGTTAACGACGGCGTCCGGATCTATATCCCATCCTCTTAACATTTTCATGCCATCAGAGCCTGGTAGGTAAGAGAAAAGAGGGTGCAGTGCATGCTGCAAACATATACTCTCACCTTTAGCTCATTCACGCGCAATTTCCCGTTATGCGCCCGACGCAGCATGCCACTGTTAATTATGAAGGTGTGTTTTCCATGAAACGTACTCCTGTAATGTGATTTCAATCAGAAGAGATTACTTAGATGGGTTTTTTTATAACCTTGTGTGTTCCTGCGTCAACACTGGTTATGTCCCCCAGTTACGTGTTAGGAAGA